GGTTGGACGGAAACGTGCTCGCCTACGAGCACGACGGACTCTTCTTGGAGTTCGAGGGCGACTTGGGCCTGCTGCGCAGCGAGATCAAGTCCGTGCTGGGAGAGTTCGCTTTCACGCTGAAGCCACAGCTCTCGGTGCGGAGCGCGCTCGAGGCGGCCGAGGCGGTGATCTGCAAGGACGCAGACACGCACACGCTGGAACTCTGGAATGCCAAGGACAACCGGCGGGAGCACCACGCTTACGTCATGAAGGCATTCACATCCCCGCCAACGCATCATGGGATTTTCGCCCAGGTTGTGATGCGGACACCCGCGGTCCACGTCATCATGCCGTACCGAGTGCACGAAATCTTCAAAATCCTCTCGGACACTGGACACAAGTGCTGGTACGACCCGGCAAAGAAGATGTGGGTCATGACAGGGGAGTCTGCCACCGACGTGCTCAAGTGGATCGTCCAGGTCGTGTGCCAGCGAGATCTGTCCGACTACAAAGCGGCTTGGCGCACGGCGGAGAGCGCCGTGGAAATCGAGTCACAGTGGAAGTTCTCCAACCAATCCTTCACGAAGGCGGTGGCCGACACATGTAGGGCTCATCTCTGTGTACACAGCTCCGACTGGGAGTTGGATGACGAGGGGACCCGGCATCTCCTGAACTTCGAGGGCATGGTCTTGAACACAGCAAGACGCTGGAGTGGGCACCCGTGCGGCCTACCATGAGGATCACCCGCTCCACTGCGTGGTCGCACTCCTGGCCCGCTTGGTGGGAGACTCCGATCATGGAGAAGTTTGAGCAGGCGCTGGAGGAAGTCCGCCGGCAACAGAACTTGCTCTGGGCGCCGACATCCACACGAAGCTTGACGAGCTTTGTGACCTCATCCCGGAACTGGGGGTACTGCACGCGTGGACCCAGGACGACCGCGCAGCTCTGCCCCCCCGCTTTTGAAGCGGGGCCCGTGCAGGGTGCGGAAAAAACTAAAAAACTAGACCACGGTTGGCCCAAAAGCATAACATCGCAAGCGAGGTCGGGCAAACGCCGCAGCAACTGACAGAATGGAATCTCGTAGATGCACAAAAAGCTCCCCGCAACTTCTTTCATGATGAGAACTCCTTGCGTCAAACTCCTAGAGGATGAGTGGCCTGAAAGCATAACTCCCCACGATGTGCGGCAAACTTGTTTAACCCCGGCCTGGCACAGGCGCAAGTTGCTCTGCGCAAGTCGCTTTGCGCAAGTTGCTCTGTGCGAGTTGCAGTGTGCGCAAGTTGCGCTGCGCAAGTTGCTCTGGGCAAGGTGCTCTGCGCAAACTGGTCTGTGCAAGTTGGTCTGTGCAAGTTGCTCTGCGCAAGTGCTCGGTGCAAGTTGCTCTGTGCAAGTTGCTCCGCGCAAGTTGCTCCGTGCAAATTGCTCCCTGCAAGTGGCGCCCTGCAAGTTGCTCTGTGCAAATTGCTTCCTGCAAGTTGCTCCCTGCAAGTTGCTCTGTGCAAGCTGCTCTGTGCAAGTTGCTCTTTGCAAGTTGCTCTGCGTAAGTTGCTCTGCGCAAGTTGTTCTAGGCAAGGCGCTCTGCGCAAACTGGTCTGTGCAAGTTGCTCTGCGCAAGTTGCTCTGCGCAAACTGGTCTGTGCAACTTGCGCTTGCGCAAGTTGCTCTGCGCAAGTTGCTCTGCGCAAGTTGCTTTATGCAAGTTGCTCCGTGCAGCTTGCGAAGCCCGCCGCCCGCGGACAAGGGGGAATCGAACCCACGACCCGCCGGTCCCGGGAGCAGGCGTGACTCCCGAGGACCACTTCGAACAACAAAAGTCACAAAAAACCTCGAGTTTTTGAACCTAGACAAAAGGATGTTTGCAGAGTGGCGCGGGAAGTGCAGAAATCGTAAAAAACTCGAGTTTTTGCACCTCGACCACGCCGATCCCCGCAGAGGGTCGCGCGGGAACCGCAGAAATCGTAAAAAACCTCGAGTTTTTGCACCTCGACCACGCCGATCCCCGCAGAGGGTCGCGCGAGCATGTTAAAAATCGCAAAAAACCTCGAGTTTTTTGCACCTCGAGCACGCCGATGCCCGCAGAGGGTCGCGCGGGCATGTGAAAAAAAAAACGAGTTTTTGCACCTCGACCACGCCAATCCCCGCAGAGGGTCGATTTTCGTGCCCCGCCGCCCTAAGAAGAGATTTTAACTCCTCGCAAGTCAATTGCACTTGATTCCTTGCACTTGCAACTTGCACTTGACTCCTTGCACTTGCAACTTGCACTTGACTCCACGCACTTGCAACTTGCACTTGACTCCTTGCACTTGCAACTTGCACTTGACTCCTTGCACTTGCAACTTGCACTTGCAACTTGCACTTGACTCCATGCACTTGGCTCCTTGCAGCTTGCAATGACTCTCATGACTCCTTGCAATGACTCCTTGCAACAACTCCTTGCAATGACTCCTTGCAATGACTCCTTGCAATGACTCCTTGCAATGACTCCTTGCAATGACTCCTTGCAATGACTCCTTGCAATGACTCCTTGCAACTCCTTGCAATGACTCCTTGCAATGACTCCTTGCAATGACTCCTTGCAATGACTCCTTGCAATGACTCCTTGCAATGACTCCTTGCAATGACTCCTTGCAATGACTCCTTGCAATGACTCCTAGCAATGACTCCTTGCAATGACTCCTAGCAATGACTCCTTGCAATGACTCCTTGCAATGACTCCTTGCAATGACTCCTTGCAATGACTCCTTGCAATGACTCCTTGCAATGACTCCTTGCAATGACTCCTTGCAATGACTCCTTGCAATGACTCCTTGCAATGACTCCTTGCAATGACTCCTTGCAATGATTCCTTGCAATGACACCTTGTAATGACTCTCATGAGAACAACTCAAGTGAACCCAGCGGAAGAACCCTTCGCCATGCTTTCGGGAAAAAGGAAAAGAAGGGAGTTTATCATTACAAGAAAACTTTGATGATGATGATGACGATGATGATGATGATGCGCCCTCCTCACGAAAAGCAACTCACGCGCGCAGTGTTTAGGGGAGTGTCAAGGCACAAGGGTGGGAAGGACACGCCAACTGCAAAATGGCCGCCTTGTCTCAAAATAGCCAATAGGCAGAAGAATCGTTCTGTCTCAAAATGTGGGAGTCCACAAACCAGGCGGCTTTCCCGGGTCTTCAAGCGAACCCAAAAAAGCTAGGACGACATCTTCAAAGATGGCACATACTTTGTGAACCCTGCCCCCCCAAACAGTCCAAACGGCTCGAGCAAAGCAAATCGGCATTGAGTTTAAATTGTTACAGGAGCAGGTTTACTGCCTTGTGCTCTTTAGCCTTTCTACGCCACCGGTTCCCCACCTGCCCGGTTTTCGAGCACCTGTTTGTGCTCTTTGGCCTTTGTATGCCAGCGATTCCCCACCTGTCCAGTTTTCGGAGCAGTTGTGCTCTTTAGGCTTTCTATGCCATGGGTTGTGGAAGGGCCAGTTTCAGCCGGATGAAACTGGAAGAACCCCACCTCACCTCGGAATTCACAACCATCTCGCCCGGTAGAGGGGGTTTCAATTACTTTTCATTTTCATGCCAAAGCCCCCCCGGGGCAAATAATTGGTATATCACAGCGGTCGTGACTACACTTGCCAAAGCAAGAAAGAACTCCAGGTTGGCCATCGCTACCTTTCGTGACCAGGGCGGGCCTCGCGCTCAGCTGGCCCTCGCCATCTGCAAAGAACATCGAACAGAACAAGCGAAACTCAATTTCAAAATGGGGGCCCAGTGCCCCAAACACGCCCATGCATCCACCCGTCTGTTGCTTCCGCCTTGGTCGCCTCTGATTGAAGCGCCACAGCCCCCTGGCGAATGAGAGAGCACGGTTTGCCAGCCTTTACCTAGGTTTCGACCACTTCACTTGCTGGCTTTCAGTGGGGAAAGGGATGTTTCATTCGGATGATACGGATGGTTCACAGAGGATGGGGCGATTCATTAGGGATGTTGGTCTCTGGTGCCAGGAGGCGTGCATAGTGACGTGGCTGCCGTCAAGCGCGGCTCAGGCCATGAACCCGAAAAAAATTTCGCAAAGGAAACCACCAGGTTTGTTTCACAGGGATCATGCCATTTCGGATTCCCTGCCTGTGGAACCAGAAAGAAAAATCAAACGAATGGCAAGGACCCATGTTAGATGAAACTCATTGGTAAACCCTGCCCCCCCAAACAGTCCAAACGGCTCGAGCAAAGCTGGCATTGAGTTTAAATTGTTAAGGAGCAGGTTTACTGCCTTGTGCTCTTTGTATGGGTTCCCCACCTGTCCGGTTCTCAAGCACTTGTGCTCTTTGGCCTTTGTATGCCAGCGATTCCCCACCTGCCCGGTTTTCGGGCACCTGTTTGTGCCTTTTGGCCTTTGTATGCCAGCGATTCCCCACCTGCCCGGTTTTCGAGCACCTTTTTGTGCTCTTTGGCCTTTGTATGCCAGCGCCTGCCCGGTTTTCGAGCACCTGTTTGTGCTCTTTGGCCTTTGTATGCCAGCGATTCCCCACCTGCCCGGTTTTCGAGCACCTGTTTGTGCTCTTTGGCCTTTGTATGCCAGCGATTCCCCACCTGCCCGGTTTTCGGAGCAGTTGTGCTCTTTAGGCTTTCTATGCCATGGGTTGTGGAAGGGCCAGTTTCAGCCGGATGAAACTGGAAGAACCCCACCTCACCTCGGAATTCACAACCATCTCGCCCGGTAGAGGGGGTTTCAATTACTTTTCATTTTCATGCCAAAGCCCCCCCGGGGCAAATAATTGGTATATCACAGCGGTCGTGACTACACTTGCTAAAGCAAGAAAGAACTCCAGGTTGGCCATTGCTACCTTTCGTGACCAGGGCGGGCCTCGCGCTCAGCTGGCCCTCGCCATCTGCAAAGAACATCGAACAGAACAAGCGAAACTCAATTTCAAAATGGGAGGGCCCAGTGCCCCAGACACGCCCATCCATCCACCCGTCTGTTGCTTCCGCCTTGGTCGCCTCTGATTGAAGCGCCGCAGCCCCCTGGCGAATGAGAGAGCACGGATTGCCAGCCTTTACCCAGGTTTCGACCACTTCACTTGCTGGCTTTCAGTGGGGAAAGGGATGGTTCATACGGATGATACGGATGGTTCACAGAGGATGGGGCGATTCATAGGGATGTAGGTCTCTGGTGCCAGGAGGCGTGCATAGTGACGTGGCTGCCGTCAAGCGCGGCTCAGGCCATGAACCCGAAAAACATATCGTAAAGGACACCACCAGGTTTGTTTCATAGGGATCATGCCATTTCGGATTCCCTGCCTGTGGAACCAGCAACAAAAATCAAACGAATGGCAAGGACCCATGTTAGATGAAACTCATTGGTAAACAATGGTGGTTACATATGCGCATGCATATATGTTTATGATTCGTGTATGTGTATATATATATATATATATGGTCACCCCCCCTGCATGACCTACCGTTGTCTTTCAAAAAGTCGTTGGGGACCATTAGCAGACAATAAAAAAGTGAAAAAAAACACCTGTTTTTATGGTGTTCGATTAAACCACAACACAGTCAACCATTGCAAAAATTAAGAAAAACCAGTGTGGTTTGATGTGTTTAGCAAAAAATGTGCAAAAACCCATGTTATTTTTTTAGAAAAACAGGAAAGCATTCAAAAAAACAAGTGTAAAAACTGATATGTTTTTCAGATAGATCCCTAAGTCAAAAACTAAGAATTCCCTGGGTTTTTGATGGTTTTGCAGTAAAACCTTCAGAATTGCTTGTTTTTAGCCACATAAAACAAAGAAAACCTCGAGAACACCAAGAATCCAAGAATCCAAGATTTTCAGGTAGATGTTTGGTCCACTACAAAATCTTGGATTCTTGGTGTTCTCGAGGTTTTCTTGGTTTTCCTTGTTTTACTTGGGAATTCTTGGATTTCCAGCAAACAACCAAGAATTACTGAGGTTTTTTGGATTTCCAGCAAAAAACCAAGAATTACTAGGGTTTTTGGATTTCCAGCAAAAAACCAAGAAAACCTCGAGAAAACCAAGAATCCAAGAATCCAAGATTTTCAGGTAGATGTTTGGTCCACTACAAAATCTTGGATTCTTGGTTTTCTCGAGGTTTTCTTCCTTTTCCTGGTTTTACTTGGGAATTCTTGGATTTCCAGCAAAAAACCAAGAATTACTAGGTTTTTTTGGATTTCCAGCAAAAAACCAAGATTTACTCGGGTTTGTTTGGATTTCCAGCAAAAAACCAAGAATTACTAGGGTTTTTTTGGATTTCCAGCAAAAAACCAAGATTTACTAGGGTTTTTTTGGATTTCCAGCAAAAAACCAAGAATTCCCAAGTAAAACAAGGAAAACCAAGAAAACCGAGAGAAAACCAAGAATCCAAGATTTTGTCGTGGGCCAGACATCTACATGAAAATCTTGGATTCTTGGATTCTTGGTTTTCTCGAGGTTTTCTTGGTTTTCTTGATTTTACTTGGGAATTCTTGGATTTCCAGCAAAAAACCAAGAATTACTAGGGTTTTTTTGGATTTCCAGCAAAAAACCAAGATTTACTAGGTTTTTTTGGATTTCCAGCAAAAAAACCAAGAATTCCCAAGTAAAACAAGGAAAGCCAAGAAAACCTCGAGAAAACCAAGAATCCAAGATTTTGTCGTGGGCCAGACATCTAAAACAACAGAAATACCAGCACCAACTGAAGACGAAGAAGAAGAACCACAAAAAGATAACTTTGAAAAAATAAAATCTTAATAATATCATATATAATGGGTATTGGTAAAAGTAAAAATAATGAAAATAATAGTTTGGAAGACATTAAGAATTTAAGTATAGATGAAAAAACACGAGCAGACACTTTAATTATTAAATCTCTTCAAGAATGTGTGACACGAATTGAGAAACTAGAGAAAGAAAAATCTGACAAATTAATATATAAACTTCCTGCCTTACAATTTTGCAATGCTTTGTTAATTTAAATTAATAATATTAACATATAATAATATTATTAATTGCTATTATAATCTGTCGATTTATCCTCTGGTATTGTTGTTGAAGTAGTACTACTTATATCATCTATTATTAAATCTTCTTCATCAACAAAACTATTTTGAAATCTTAATAATTCCTCGTCTGTTGCCCTTCTTTTCAATACTTTATAAAGTTTATGTATCCAAGAATTAGTATGAAAATTACAATTACCTCTACGATAAAATCCACCACATCTACATAGTTTCATTGGCATATTACTATATTATATCAAATTAGAATATCTTTATTCATCATTCGTAATTTGAAATGCCTGTTCAAATCTGATATGAAACATTTTGTTAATGTCTTTAGCATTCATATTCACGTAGAAGAAACTATAAGGTGCGTCATTAACGGCTTGATGATACATATCTAATAATTGCTGTTTATCAACAATGGCGCTATTTTCTTCAATAAAACTCATTAACTCACTTGCATTTTTCAACCTAAAAATATATAATGAACTGGCATTTAAACGAATGATAGGCACTAAAACATTATATTTTTGTGTTGAACAAATTACACTTACTGCATCGTGCCTGCCTCTTGTAAAAAGTCCGTGTAATAATTTACTATATCTAACAAATTTAGGATCGTCTGCGTGGTCATCTACAACGATTAATATTGAATGCGTGGTCATCTATAACGATTAATATTGAATGTAGTTTCTTTATCTTTTTAGACTTCATATAATTAATTATTTTCTTCTGTCTTTCAATTACATTTTCTAAATCACTTGGATTATAATTATCAAAATAAATTTGCTCTTTTTCATCATCCACTTGCAATTCATCCCTGATGTATTTTTTAACTTCTATAAAAGTTGGGTCATTATGAACGCTGGTGGAAAATATAAATATTCTTGCAAATGAATTTCTATAAACATTCAAGATAAGGTTTTGGACTAAAACTGTTTTGCCTCCCGTCGATGAAGCAACTATAATACTTCTAAATGGTAATTTTAGCACGTGCTCATATTTGGATTGTTTGAATTCATATTCAGTTATCTTTATTGGTTTTATTATTGGGACATCTGTCATAGTTGATATTAAAGAAATATAGAAAATTATATTTAAAAAAATAATTTGTCATTACTAGTAAATCGAACATCATTATGTTATGAGTGGCGGTGAATAACATAATGGAACAGGTTTTCCATTGCTTCAATCAATAAGCATTGAAGATAATTAGTTTTGTGTCTTGCTCGCGTGTGCAATGAAAACCAAGTGCTGTGCCCCACCAATAGCGATGTAGCTAAAAAGGTAGGTCATGCAGGGGGGGGTGAGCATATATATAAATATATACATAGGTGGTACATATATATATATACATACATACATACATACATACATACATACATACATACATACATACATACATACATACATTACATTACATACATACATACATACATACATACCATTACATACATACATACATACATACATACATACATACATACATACATACATACATACATACATACATACATACATACATACATACATACATACATACATACATACATACATACATACATACATACATACATACATACATACATACATACATACATACATACATACATTACATACATACATACATACATTACATACATACATACATACATACATACATACATACATACATACATACATACATACATACATACATACATTACATACATACATACCATACATACATACATACATTACATTACATTGCATTACATTACATTACATTCCATTACATTACATTACATTCCATTACATTACATTACATTACATTACATTACATACATACATACATTACATTACATTACGTTACATTACATTACATTCCATTACATTACATTACATACATACATACATACATTACATCACATCACATCACATTACATCACATCACATCACATTACATTACATTACATACATACATACATACATTATATTACATTACGTTACATTACATTACATTCCATTACATTACATTACATACATACATACATTACATCACATCACATCACATTACATCACATCACATCACATTACATTACATACATACATACATACATACATACATTACATACATACATACATTACATACATACATACATTACATACATACATACATACATACATTACATACATACATACATACATTACATATATACAATACATAGATACATACACATACATACATACATACATACATGCATACATACATACATTACATACATACATACATACATACATACATACATACATACATACATACATACATACATACATACATACATTACATACAATACATACATACATACATACATACATACATACATACATACATACATACATACATACATACATACATACATACATTACAGACATACATACATACATACATACATACATACATACATACATACATACATACATACATACATACATACATACATACATACATACATTACATACATGACATACATTACATACATACATACATACATACATACATACATACATACATACATACATACATACATACATACATTACATTACATTACATACATACATACATACATTACATACATACATACATACATACATTACAGTACATACATACATACATACATACATGCATACATACATACATTACATTACATTACATTACATTACATTACATTACATTACATTACATTACATTACATTACATACATTACATACATAACATACATACATACATACATACATACATACATACATACATACATACATACATACATACATACATACATACATACATACAATACATTACATACATACATACATACATACATACATACATACATACATACATACATTACATACATTACATACATTACATACATACATACATACATACATACATACATACATACATACATTACATACATACATACATACATACATACATACATACATACATTACATACGTACATACATACATACATACATA